ATTATGCGTATTATTTTTCAATTTATTTATCCGTTTTAAAAAACTTTTGCTGTTGAGAATATGCACAAGAACATACTCCAATTCAACCATTTCTTCACGTACAATTCAGTGACATGGATTACATTATTTGAGTTGTGCAATCATTCTCATCCTCCTTTTCTGTGTTGTTCCTCCCCCACTAAAACAAACTCACTACCGCCTAAGGTTCCTATCTAATCTTTCAAGTTGTTTTGTTTGATCCCCTATAGATATATCTTAAAGAACATAATATTCAAGGCAGACATTCTTTGCTACTCACTGCCTTCGAGTTGATCCCAACTCATGGAGATCCCTCCTTGGGTTTCTGAGGCAGTATCACTATGGAAGTAGATTGCCCCATCTTCCTTCTGAGGAGTGGCTGGTGGGTTTGAACCGCCAGCCTTCTGGTTAGCAGTCAAAAGCCTTAGGCACTACACAACCACAGCTCCTCCATTCTTTGCTAGTTGAGATAAATTATTGTTTAAGAAGACTTCATGGAATATTTTTGTTTTAAGGTTTAAAGATAATCTCAGGGCAATAGTTTCAGGTGCAAGGATGCATTATTTTAAAAATATGAGGGAAGCAAGACTGTTGAGTTTCAGGTTACAATCAGAATCAATTCAGTGGCTGGGGGTTTGGTATTTTTGGCTGGTAATTTACTTTAATGTCTTGTTGAAAGATAATGAGAGATTGAGAACAATTAGCAAGTATTTAACAACTATGTGTGAGAAACAGAGAGCCCCTATGGTGTCATTGTATGAAGAAACCCTCCTCACCTGTAGTTGATGGGCAGACACAATCAAAAGACTGGCTGAAGACTTGATCCTGAGAGCCCCAGGGCTCCAGTGAAGTTTTAATAATATTGAGCTGAATTGGTTGCTCTGGTGGTACAGTGCCTAAGGTATTTGACTACTAATCAGAAGGCTGGTAGATCAAACCCGCCAGCCACTCCGAAGAATGAAGACTGGGCAATCTACTTCCTTAAAGATTTATAGCCTCAGAAACCCAAAGGGGGTCACTATGAGTAGGAATGGACTTGATGGCAGTGAGTTTGGTTTTTTGGTTTAAAGTGGCTGTGTTATTTGTAGGTCAGGGTCTTAGTAGGAACAATCTGGAATCCTAGAAACATCCTGGAACAGAGACATTGATATCTGAACAGATGCCCCAAGGATTTTATCTCAACGATATCCTATAGATCATTGTTGCTGTGCCAGGTGCTACAGAAGCTTCTGCCCCCAAATAGGACACAGGCATTTCTCTCTCTCCTCTCCTGGCTACCAGGCTGATAAACTGGTTTGCCATAGAGTTGATTCCAACTCATGGCAAATGTTATAAAGTACAGTTGCACTCTATAGGAGTATCTTGTCTGTAATCTTCAGAGAAGCAGATAGCCCAGTCTTTCCACAGCACTACTGGTTGAATTCAAACTGCCAACCTTTCAGTTAGTAGGAACCTAACTAGGGCTAACCCACAGAATAACACAGCTAAGTACATTCTAGACCTAATAAGAGAAGGAACAGACTATTCTGTTGTTAGGTGCCATTGAGTTGCCTCTGACTCATACCCACCCCATGGACTGTGAGGCCTGAGAGATCTTTTAACCAGAAGCCTTTAGTATGGAGTTTAACACGTCCCATGCTGAGTCCTAATGCCTCTAGTATAGAGATTAACACGTCCCATGCCTCAGAGCCTTTATCAGAGATCTGCATGGCTCCAAAATGTCTCTCGCCCACCTTTGAAGGCTCTGACAGCTCTTACCTCCCCAGATTTCACACGGAGTTTGCACATATCAAAGAGATCCGCCCGCCCCGAAAAATCTCTCATTCACCTTTGAAACTGGGGGATTCCAACCCGTCCCCCAACTTCCCAAACCCCTGTCCTAAAAACCAATTATCTACTCCACCCTATATTTTTTTCTATAAAAATGTGATAATGAAAGAGCAGGAGGTCTTTTGCTCAAGCCAGTGAATTGGTGAGAGCAGGGACCCTAACTTGAGCTAGCTAATAAACTTTCCTTTTGCTTTTTCATTGTCGTGTGTTAGCAAATTCCTCACACCGAACAACTCCTTCATAACCTGGGCCCAACAGGACAACAGAACAAAACACTGCCAGGCCCTGTGCCAGCCTCACAATCCCTGCTGTGCTTGAGCCCATTGTCACAGCCACTGTGTCAACACATCTTGTCAAGGGTCTTCCCCTTTTTCACTGACGCTCTACTTTACCAAGGAGCTCTGGTAGCGTAGGGCCTAAGGCATTTGACTGCTAATCAGAAGGCTGGTGGTTCAAACTCACCAGTTACTCCTTGGAAGGAATGTCGGGCAAACTACTTCCGTAGTGATACCACCTGGGAAACCCAAGGACGTGTCGCTATGAGTCGGATTGTGAGTTTGGTTTTTTGGTTTTCTACTTTACCAAGAATGTTATTTTTCTCCAGGGAATGGTGTCTTCTAACAATGTGACTAAATTAGTTGAGACAAAGTCTAGCCATTCTCACTTCTAAGGAGCATTCTGGCTGCCCTCCATCCAGGGCAGAATTGCTCATTTTTCTGGAAGTTCATAGTATGTTCAGTATTCTGGACCACCACCATAATTCAAAGGTATCAACTCTTCTTTGGTCTTCCTTATTCACTGCCCAGCTTTCACATACACATGAGGCAATTGAAAATACCATGGCTTGGTTTAGGCACATCTTAGTCTTCAAAGTGACATCTTTGCTCCTTAATACTTTAAAGAGGTCCTTTGCAGCACATTTGCCCAGTGCAATAGGATGTCTGATTTCTTGACTCCTGCTTCCAAGGGTATTGATTGTGGATCCAAGTAAAATGAAGGCCAAAAGAAAGTAAACATCTAAAGAATTACAAGAATTGCCTAGAGTGTATGGGCAGGGGCAGAGGTAACTCCTGGGATTGAATTTTGAGAGTGCTTACTGGACTATAAGGGTAGATAGAAAGCTTTTATTGACTTTTCAGGATATGATACTTAGCGCTTGTTTAAGCTTTCTATCTCTATATAACTAATCACTACAAACTTGGCAGGTAAACTCCAGCTGGAATTCTTGATTAGATTTTAAGTCCTAGAAATAATCCTTCATGATACTTGGCTCTACCCTCTTGGCTGTTGGTTCTATGTTCTGGGCTCTTGGATTTGTCTTCTTTGTCATCCTTTCTTTTTCTTGAAAGGTAACATGTATTTGTAGCAGAGTAGTTTTATCAGTTCACTTCTTGTCAGAATTTTAGAGGTTTGAGAAACATTCTTTCATTTTGTGCTCTCTCTGTCCCTCTCAATCCAAGCTGATATTATTGTCTTTGTTAATTATGTAAGTGTGCCAAGAACCTTGTGGACCTTGTATAGATTTCATAGAAATTCTTCATATTAAACAAGATCACATTCAAAGATCATTTTGAGATAATTCCTTTCGTATCTTGGCTCCCTGCTGAGGTGGCTGGGTGATAGATAGTACCCTTAACCTTCCTGAAGGCCCTGGATTGATTGAGAAGATCAGAGAGGTACATCCTCAAACCCTTGAGAATGAATACTCTGGTTTTTATAAGGCTTCAAAAAAATGTCACAGAATAACAGATTACAGACAAGATACTCCTAGTCTTTACTCTGAGCAGCTTTCCCTATAGTAAATTTCTTAATCTTAGCATACTTTGTTCTTATTTTCAATGCAATTATCATCTTAAGAATCTCAAAGACAATGACAGACTTAAGGGGAACTTAGAAACTTAGGATCCTTTCCACTGGTTTAAAGTCAATAATCATATATGCTTAACTTTAAATTGTGCTAAAACTGCAATTCTCCTATTTCTTAATGGTTCTCACACTTTGTAGTTTCATTTTAACTTTTATTACAAATGGAGTCATTTCTGCCATATCACTGAATCTTGTTATTGTCTTATTATATTGTGAAATCGATCCATTGACAACTATGCGTTTAAATGATAAGACAGAATATTCATTTCCTTTAAAATGTTTCAATGAAGGATTGTTTCATCAGAACAGTGTAGGCTAGTCTTTGTGCATGAGTCATGTTGGGATATCACTTCAGAAGCAGGAGACTGCCTGCTCACATATAATTTTAAAGATGGAATTCCTGGTCACAGAAGTCTTTTGAATTACACCTCTGGATACATGTTTTGCAATGAAATCTTTCATAATATGTATCATAACAGTCCTTGATTCCTGTATACATATCTCAAACATAGATTCCTGCATTTCTGTCATAAATATCCACATCTTCATAAAAGAGCTCTGGTAGCATAGTGCCTAAGGCACTTGACTGCTAACCAGAAGGCTGGCCGTGCAAACCCACCAGCCACTCCTCGGAAGGAAGGTTGGGCAATCTACTGTAGTGATACCACCTCAGAAACACAAGGAGGGGTCACTATGAGTTGGGGTCAACTCGACAGCACATAACAACAACAACATAATCATCCCATTTTTGTAAACATACCACATTGCCATTGCATTAAACATCTTGATGAAAAGACCAATTGTTTAAAGAGTTATTCATATTAAGGTGGTATTCAAAGCAATCTTTATCCCAAGTCATTTCAGCAAGTAGACAATAGACAGGTGCAGGAAACTGGAGAATAAGAAAATAATAGAGAAAACTGCAGTAAATGTAAATTTTCTATTAAGACAAGGAAAGATTGTCTTGCATCATTTAGAGCACAATTTTACACGTAGTTGGTGAACATGAGCATGGGCAGCAAAATCATAAGGCACCTCGTCCTATCAGCACAAGAAAGACATTTTTTAGGCTCTCCCTTTTTTGGGTCATAGATCAATGAAAGTACAAACATATTGGTCCTTCATGTAAATAGAAAATAAAAATAATAAAAATCATTGCTTCATGGTCTGTTTTTTCCACAGGTCATCAGGAGACACAACTGAGTTTTTGGATGGTTGGGGAATGGCTTAGAGTCAGTTGTCCTCATTCTTTATTCATGTATGGGTTTATTGCCAGAACTCACAGCCTATGCAGTTTCTCTGCCCAGGTGTTTAGCCACCTTATTCCTTATTTCCTTCATCTTTATGCCATAGATAATGGGGTTGAACAGTGAGGGCAGAAGAAGGTAGAGATTAGCAAGGAGAATGTGAGCATGAAGTGGGATATTGCGACCAATTCGGTGGGTAAGAGAGGAAAAGAGTGCAGGCACATAGGAAACAAGGATGACAAAAAGGTGAGCTGAGCAGGTGTTGAGGGCTTTGTAGATGGCATCTCGAGAGTTGAGGCGCACCACAGCCTGCAGAATGAGGGCATAAGAAGAGCCAATGAGCAGGAGGTCAAGTCCCACCACAAGAAGGATCACAAAGAGCCCATAGATACGATTGGGTCTGGTGTGGTCACAGGCCATTTTTACCACAGCCATATGGTCACAGTAGGTGTGAGGTATGACCATGTGACAGAAGGTCAGCCTTTGAAGTAGAAGAGGCATGGGTAGAATAAGAATCACACCCTTGGCTAAAGCCACCAGCCCCAAACGTCCAACTAGAGAATGGCTTAGGATTGTGTTGTAGTGCAATGGTTTACACACAGCCACATATCGGTCAAAAGCCATTACCACAAGTAGGGCGGATCGCACCACAGATGCACCATGGATGAAAAACATCTGGGTGAAACATCCATTAACAGCAATGTCCTGATCATTGAACCAGAAGATGCAGAGGAGCTTGGGCACCAGAGCCAGAGTGGATACGAGGTCAGCCACCATCAGCAGGGCCAGGAGAAGATACATTGGTGTGTGAAGTGTTGGATATGTGGCCACCAGGAAGAGGATAGCACCATTGCCAATGAGGATAGCCAAAAACATGCAGGAGAAAGGAAGAGAGAGCCACAAGTGCTGTGACTCTAAGCCAGGTATGCCCATCAAAGTGAATGTGATGAAGCTGGACTGGTTGAAGATTATCATGGTAGAAACTGTTGGAGGTTGTTAAGAAAGTCTAGACACCTGTCAATGAGACACGGATGGTGGGTTGTTTTTACAAGTTTGGTTTCTACTGACTAACTAAGATGGGGTCCAGAAAAAAAGGTTGAATAGAAGTCTGGGATCACAAAATCTGCAATCTGGTTTCAACTCTATTTTAAGCACCTATAAAAACCCCTGAAAACCAAGCTTACTGCCATTGAGTAGATTCTGACGCATAGCGACCCCCGTTGTGTTTCTGAGGTGGTAAATCTTTATGGAAGTAGATTGCCCCATTTTCCTTCAATGGAGTGGCTGGTGAGTTGGAACCACCAACCTTCTGCTTAGCAATCAAGTGCCTTAGGCACTGCACCACCAGAATTCCTTATGTACCTATATTGTCCTCAAAATATTTTTTCTCAATGTGCCTGGTATCCTTTTGGTTATTATTATTTTTTTTAATCACTTTTATACTTCAAAGAATATTTCTGAGTTTGAAAGTTCTGAGTTTGAAGAGGAAAAATGTTCTTACACTTGATAAAAGGATGGAAGAATCTGATAGATGAACTATGATCTTCTTGTTGGAAAGCCTCCTGTATGGAGGAGAAATGCACTTCTGCATTCTCTGGCCCAGGAATGCTGAGCTGGGGGCAATAGGGCAATCTATTTCCATCAAGGGAAAATTTCCCTTGAGTTTCTTTGATTTTTTGTATTGTCCCTCATTCAGAAATCTACTTTCTGATGGTGATGCTATTTCTTCCTTTACCCATACCCTTTGCCATTGAGCTGATTCTGACTTAAAATGATTCTGTAGGACCGAAAAGAACTGCCCTATAGGGTTTTTGAGGAGGAGCTCTGGTAGCATAGTGCCTAAGGCACTTGACTGCTAACCAGAAGTCTGGAGGTTCAAACCCACCAGCCACTCCTCAGAAGGAAGGTTGGGCAATCTACTTCGGTAGTGATACTGCCTTGGAAACCCAAGGAGTCGCTACGAATTGGGTCTGACTTGATGGCACACAACAACAACAACAAAGGGTTTTCAAGACTGTAAATCTTTACAGAAGTAGACATCTTTCTCTGTGGTGTTCCAACTTCCAACATTTTGGTTAGCAGCTGAGCACTTAACTACTACACCACCAGGGCTCCATTTTTCTCCTCCTAAGGCCACTCCTCGGAAGGAAGGTTGGACAATCTACTTCATTAGTGATGCTGCCTCAGAAACCCAGGGAGGGGTCACTATGAGTCAGATCTGACTTGATGGCAGCAAGTTTTTTTTTTTTTTTTTTTTTTTTGCGGGGGGGCATTTACTTTTGGACAAAATGTGAAAGGTATATTGGTAATGTACAAATAAGGATACTGTCAGGTGATTGCTCTGGTGGCGTAGTGCCTAAGACATTTGGCTGCTAACCAGACCACCAGCCACTCCTTGGAAGGAAGGTTGGGCAATCTATGTCCTTAGTGATAACCCCTTGGAAACCCAAAAAGGGGTCACTATGAGTCGGGTCTGATTAGATGGCAGTGAGTTTGGTTTGATTTTTATCAGATGATTGCCTCCCACTATCTCCCAAGAATATGCAATTGTGTACTTCCTTTTCCCTTGAGGTTTCTGGCTTATCTGGCTCATGCATCTCTCTTCCATAAAACCACCCTTCATTCATTGAATGGATTACTTTTAATCAAGTGGTGCTTACTTAAAATTAGTCCACTGGGATGCCTAAGAGCACTCATTTACACCTCAGTTTCTACTGAATTAAGTAAAATTTCTCTCTTCTTCTATCCCCAGGGCAGTATCGATGGTGACACCAAGCCACTGTTAAATCAATGACTCTTTTCACTAATAGCCTCTTCTAAGGTACCTATGGGGAGCTCTGGTAGCATGGTGGCTAAGACACTTGACTGCTAACCAAAAGGCTGATGATTCAAACCCACCAGTCACTCCTTGGAAAGAAGATGGGGCAATCTACTTCCGTAGTGATACTGCTTTGGAAACCCAAGGAGGGGTCGCTATGAGTCGGGTCCAACTCAATGGCACATAACAACAACAAAGTACCTATTGTCTTCCATCTCCCTCAAGTTACCCATTCTGTCTATTTTTCATTGCCTTCAGGCATTAATTGGTAGAAGAGCTCAGCATGAAATAGAGTATCAGGTGGCCAGCCCATGGAGCAAGAAAGCTGAGTGCTTTTTGGGCAGGCAGATTTCCTGTGGAGGGGGTTTCCTTCGGCATTAATCGGCACAAGCGGAGAGACCAAGGAAATGGGAAGCAGAGCTGCCTCAGCCTCAAAGGGTAGGAGCATGGTCTCTGGGAGTGGAACCACCACAGGCTCCTAGGTTCCAAAGAGTTAGACTCTTACCAACTTGATTCTGGAGTGTGAGGCTGCACATTCATGTGAGCCAGTGGGACGGAGCCATAGCCACTGCTCACGAGAGAGGGGGCAGAGTTACTATGCCCAAGAGGTAGAGGAATGGGGTCCACCAGGCCAAGGAGATGAAGATGCCACTCAGGAACTAGGGGATTAGAGCCACCCAGTGAAAGAGATCTGTACTGATGCCACCCACTGAAGATCTGTACTGGTGCCAAGTTGGAAAGGGGTAGAATTGTGATAGTTAAGTTTGTGTGTCAACTTGGCTGGGCCTGGTTGAGTGGCTGGGCAGCTGGATGTGGTATTTCCCATGATGAGACTGGTAATCAACTCCATGGTGGAATCTACTGTGAGCAGCTGAGTAGCTGCCTTAGGGATGTGGTCTGCTTCCTAGCCTTGGGGATAATCTCTAGCTTATGGCATACTTGAACCATGCTTGTAGCCGTGTCGTTGTTCAGCAGCCTGCCATGCTCTGCCAACCTTGGGACTTTCAATGGACTTGAATTAATGGCCTGCTGTGTGGTTTGGTAATATCAGGACTGTGCCTTTTCACCTGTTGACCTTGGGTTTGTCAACCTCAACAGCTAACAGCTGCCTGAGTGGAGAGATGCCTCTAGCTTCAGTGGGCTGGGAGTAAGAAGCAGATCTGGAGCCTAAGGTTGAGGGGCTTTCACCCAACCCCTAGAGCCTGGCATTTTGAACTCAGACTTAAAGGCTCCAAACTAGGGAAATAAACTCCTGTTTGTTAAAATCATCCCATTTGTGGTATCTTCTATTAGAGCGGCACTAGGTAACCAAAGCAGTCAGAAACATTAAATATATAGCCTTTGGTCATGGTTCTATATGTTAGTGAATATAACATTTTAACATATTACCCTGTGCTGTTATGTTCATGGAGATGGTTCTTCAGGAAACTGATGTGCATATGTGTGAATCTTCTTAATGGGGGATGGCTAATAAGGAACACAACACAGAGAGAATCATTACTTCAATAAATAAAATAACCCTGTCCCTAGCATTCTGTATAAAATACTAGCAAGAGCAATCTTCCCTGAAAAATAGTGGCACAGAGTACACTTAGAACTTTGAGCACATGCTTCAGGAGACACAGAATAGTTAGTGATAAAGATAGACATCATCCTAAATGGAGTTTGCTAAGAGTGTCTATAGATCCCTTACAATGTGAAGGAAAGAGCTTAAGATGAAAGAAGAAACATCTATTTAATCATATGAATAAGAGCCCTTTAACTGTATCAGAAATCCCCTATAGAGGTTACACATGAAATTTTTAGGGGACAGATCCTGACAATTTCTGAATCACTAGATTTATAAACACTATTGTAGGATACCAGGAGCTCTGGTGGTGTAGTGCCTAAGGCGTTTGACTGCTAACCAGAAGGCTGGAGGTTCAAACCCACCAGCCACTCCTTGGAAAGAAGGTGGGGCAATCTACTTTCCATAGTGATACTGCCTCAGAAACCCGAGGAGGGCTCACTATGACTCAGATTTGACTGGCCGGCAGTGAATTTGGTTTAGGAGCTCTGGTAGCGTAGTGTCTACGTCATTTGACTGCTAAACAGAAAAAAGCCTGGAGGTTCAAACCCACCAGCCACTCCTCTGAAGGAAGGTTGGGCAATCTACTTCTGTAGTGATACCGCCTCAGAAACCCAAGGAGGGGTCACTATGAGTCGGGTCTGACTCCATGGCACATAACAACAACAACAACAACAAAATGCTATTAAAACAAATTTTTCACTTTAACAGACAAACTCTGCACTACACAACAGAATCCTTGCTGTGTTGCCTGCATTTAGTATTAGGAATTTAAATGTTCAGTATGCTTATAGTAAGTATTTTCTGTTTTTTAAAAATGTATAGTCATGCTCATTCTAGTTCCCATCCTAGAATCTGATTTTATTCATTACAATGATTACTCCTGTTTTTAAGCAGTCCCTTGTTAAAGATCGCCTTCACATTTCTTATAGGTTCCTTATCCTAACTGAATATTACAAGTGAAATTTCTGTGATCAGAGAATAAAAACTTGGAGAGCATCACTACTTATAGTTTACACTCAGCCATACTTAAATCAATAAATATGCAACACTCATAAAGTCAATTTGTAAAGTTCCTGCAAGATAATACATAGAATTTAAGTTGTTGTCCTCTTCCACATTCTTAAAATTTTGTCTTCATTCATAGAGCATCTGGATTAGGTTTGAGTTAAGCAATCTAAGAGGAAATAATTCATGGGACATTGACTAGTCTCTTTCTGGAGTCCCAGGGTAAGTAGTTATCTATTATGCTTTTAATCACCTTCCTTCATCAAGTTACATTATTGGTAATTTTCCATGTCCTTTCCCTCCATCACTACTTCAGTCATAATTACCAAAATAATAATAATAATAATTCAAAGTTGCCATTGAGCCAATTCCAACACAGGGTGACACCTTTTGTGTCAGAGTAAAACTGCATTTCCCAGGGTTTTCAATTGGTGTGACCTTTTAGAAATATATCGCTAGATCTTTGTTCAAAGTGCCCATGGGAAGATTTGAACTGCTTAGCTTTCAGTTGGCAGCTATGTGCTTAACCAACCATTTATGCCCCCCAATGACTCTTTAGTCACAATTTTTAGTGACAATTCA